TTTTAAAACATATACTGTGAGCATCTGGGTATCTCAGGGTAATGGGTGAACAAGAAAGTAAATGATTTAGGCTGAATGTCTGGAAAGAAGAAGGTTGCTTAATGGAAGTGTGAACTACTGGTTTTTGGAGGGGAGGGGGGTCAAGTACTTGTTCCTCGATTTTTAGAAGCTAATAATAATGTGTTTGCATTTCTCTGAAGAGCAAAGGTCAGTGTATAGGATAATTCCTAAGGGAATCATTCATAACTATACCTCCTTTCTTCTCACTTATTCAGCTTAAACATAAAGGTTAGTTTGGGATTAACTTCAGATTTTATACATTTCTGGGATTTCCTGCCACCTTCTTTAAATTTTTCATCATCAACTTACTAATGTCTGAAATTTCTTTAACAAGAGACAAAATATTCTATTCTACAGTCAGCGAGAAGACTTTCAATACCTGTTAGTTTAACACACTGAATGGACTATGACTAAATTCAACATTTATTGAACACCTATTTTGGTATTTGGTACTAATGAGAGCAAAAAAAAAAAAAAAAGATGATGAACAAGTAAGATTTCTTCTGTCTTCCCCTGAGACATGGACCCATACAATAATGGGACATAGGACCAGCAGTTAGCGTAATGGCTATGTTGCTGTACTCCCATGTAGTCGACCGCGGTTCGCATCCCAGACCCGGTAGCTTAAAACTCACGCCGGGCGTGTGTGTGTGCGTGCCCAAGATCCTGAGAGGAGAATGGGGTAGAAGTGATTGAGGCGTGGCCACCCCCCCTGGGGGGTGATTTTTTGCTTTCTATCTCTCTGTCTCTGTCTGGTGAGCGCACGCACCCTATAGCAAAAACTTCTCCAAAAAATAAATAAACAAATAACTAAAAATAATGGGACACAAGTTCCTTGATGATAAGAGATCACCCTGTATCTTTCTCACCAGTGCATTCCCTGAATTTAACATTGTGCCTGACTTATAACAAGGACGTAGTATTTTTGTAAATAGACGGATACATAAATGAGCATAGTGTCATGAAGACTATAAAAATGGTATGAGGCAGTCAGTGACATTGTAGTTAAGGAGGTTAGATCCCACATGGCTGACTGTGGAATTCGAATCCCAGACCTAGTAGCCTGAAAACCCTGTCGGTGCGCACACGCGTGTGCGTGTGTGTGTGTGTGTCCCCAAAAATCCTGAAGGGAGAGAGAAATGAAGAAATGGAGGAGAAGGGATTATGGTGTGACCATGCCCAATGGAGTGTGCTTTTTACTTTCTATCCCTGATGAGTACACATACCCTTAAAAAAAGAAGATGCAAATGAAATTTATTTTCTCTTGTGTTTTTTGAATGAACTGAATAGTTTTTGCTTAAGAAAAAAGAAAAGAGAAAATGTATGTACAAGACATACTATTAATTCATTGGGAGGATGAACAGTTTTGCTTTAGAGGGGTGTAGAGAAGGGGAGACTTCATGGGAAGATATTTGAACCAGATTATGAAAGATGAACAGAAGCCTTCCAGAGCCTTCAGAATGGCACTCAGCTAGAATATGTGATAGCAAAGGCAAGAAGTTGCGAAATGACATAGATTTTCAGGGAACTAATTTGGCAGTCCTTGATGGGAGGATAATGAAAATGGAAGAGCTCTGGAAGAAGCAGGTCATATCATAAAGGGCCTTTGTAATAAGTGGTATACTGGATTCAAGTCAAAGCATGAGCTACTGGGTGCTGAGGCTGGATGGGGAAGAACAAGGACCAAAGGAACTTGTTTCTACCTCACTATTTTACCTGGGGTTGATCTTGTTTTCCTTCAGTGTGTTGGGATTTAGAAGCTAATTAGTGAGACATTTCTTAATATGGAAGTGATAGAGCTTGATGAACTGTATCAATACTGTTCCAATGAGATTTTATATTTTAAAAATGCATTAAAAGAACTTTTTTATTTAAAAAGTCAGCATAGAGTCATAATTATATAGTAAGTATACCACCTTAGAAAGGCATCTGTCATTTAACAAGTGGAATTTCTGCTTAGTTCCTTTGTACAATGATTTAATTTATGACCTAATATAGTTGTACCTTAGTATCCATGGGGGATTGGCTCCAGGACCCCTCAGAATACCAAAATCCTTATATAAAATGGTATAATATTTATATATAAAATATGCACATACTCCGTTTATTTTTAAAAGCTTTTTGTTACAGGGCATATGCTCTCTCTGGAGAGAGACAGAGAGCAAGATATATATATATATATACTTAGTATATATATATATACACATATACTTAGAGAGAGAGAGAGAGAGTGCGAGAGAGAGAGAAAGAAAGTGAAAAATCACAGTCTCCAGAGAGGGTGACCACTGCTCCATTCTCCTTGCAGGATTTTGGGCATATATACACACACAATCCCAGCCTGTTTTTTAAGCTTGAGTCTAGTGCTCGATCTTGCAGCTGGCCATGTGGGATCCAGCCACAGTAACCTCCATGCCACCTGCTGGCCCAATACTCTGTTTACTTTAAATCATCTCTAGATTACTTGTAATACCCCATGCAATATAAATGTTATGTAAATAGTTATCATACTATGTTGTTTAGGGAATGATGACAAGAGTGTACAAATTTAGTACAGACAAACAAATATGCGTTTTTTAAAAAATATTTTTGATCCTTGATTGGAGATCAAATATCCACTAATGAGGACCTCACAGATGCGAGTGGCTGACTAGTCCCTACACACATCATTTTCCAGAGACTTGTCCTCTCAGTAAATCTGGGCATACCTGAATGGTGAGAGTTTCTGTACCACGTATGCCTATAGTGAAAGCAAACATGTCTTGGTTTTTTTATGCAACAAAATACTTCCCTCTGTTGTATGAGGTGTTTCATTGTTGTCTATATAAATCTTTTAGAAGGATTGGATGGAATAGGTGCTCTTTAATCTCCTTTAAAGAGATTATAAAGGGGTTTTTATTTAGCTTCTTTGGACTATTTGTATGCAGTTAACTTTGTAGAGCATATCCCAATTTTAAATAAGAAGCCATATATTCATTTACTTTTTTTTTGGAGAGTTTTTTTCTATAGGGCGTGTGCACTCACCAGAAAGACAGAGACAGAGAGATAGAAAGCGAGAAACCCCCCACCCCCCCCACCACCAGGGGGGATGGCCACACCGCATCCCTTCTCCTCCATTCTCCTCCTGGGATCTTGGTCACTCACACACACATGACTGGCGTGAGTTTAAGCCACAAGGTCAGGACTTGAACCGCGGTCGGCTACATGGGAATTCAGTGACATAGCCATTACTCTAACTGCTGGTCCTAGAAGCCATACATTTATAAAAGTTGGGTTTCTTAAACTTAACTTTAGGTATATACCTAATGATGGACCAGCAGGTGGTATGGAAGTTAAGGTGCTAGATCCCACTGCTAATTGGTGCAGTTTGAGTCCCAGACCTGGCAGCTTGGAAATCATGTCAGGTGTGTGTGTGCATGCATGCCCAATATCCTGAGAGGAGAATGAAGGAAAAGGGATTATGGTGTGGCCATAACCTCTGGGAGATGATGTCTCATTTTCCCTCTTTCTCTTCTCTCTCTGGAGAGTGCATGCCCCGTATAATAACAAAATGAAAGAAAATATATACACACTCACTGACTATTTTAAGCTACTTTTAGGGTCATGTTTAATTTAAACTATAAAATCATTCATTACTCTTTTTTCCCCACTTCCAGTTCAACTACTGCTGTTGTCATTGTTTCTTTCTTGTCCTATCTTCATTCTGTAAATTTCTGGATAAAATAAGTCCTTATTTTGCATGTTGAGGTTTAATGTATGTTCTCCACTTGATAGAGCATTTTGTTTGGGGGGACAGGTTCTTGGTTGATTGTATTAGTTCAGTGGATTTAGAATAAGATGTTTGTGGGGAGGGGAGGCAGACTCTTCAGTCATTGATTCTCTCTTTATAACTTTGCCCTTTTAGTGGGAACAGATTACTTGTGTAGTGCTTCTAGCCCTGCACAGACAGAATCACAAGGAAGAAACTTTACATAAACCATTTATACTAAATGTTTGGTATGCGGGCGACATAAATCAACAACAATATTCATTACAAATTCATCCCTTTATCAGTATTATCTTGATAGAACTGAACCCAATGTGTGGGAATTTGAACCCTGCTTCAATACATCTAGCCCTGGGTAATTAATTATTCGGGGCACAGAGAACCTGGCCCCTGCATGTAGAGTAATTCTTCCTGGTCAGCGTTAACTCCACTGGCAATAATAAATAGAAAAAGTCTCCAGTGATGCCAGTATTTTAAAGTGATTAATCATCTTTCCCCCTTCCTCCTCCCCTTTAGTTTTCTTTAACTAGGATTTTTCAGCAATAAATCTTTAACAATACAGGTAGGAATTGTTCTGTAATTAAATTTTGCCCTGCTTAATTTCTTACCTTTTATGTGCAATTTAAAAAAAAAAAAGTTTCATTTTAAGGGGTCCCAATCAAAATTTAAACCAAGCAAAATGCTTTTATGAAATATTGAGAGAGTCTCTATGGAAGAGTAAGCTCTTGATTTTGAATATTAGATAGAGCACATACTCATGAAAATTGTTCATCAACACCAGTTGGGGTGTCAAATATTCTGAAGTTCTGAGTCGCTTCACTTTGATGCTTACGGTATGTCTGTATTAGAAAACGTCTGACATATGCCTGCGTTCCAGCACTCAAGAGAATAATGATTTGTTTCTTAACTGTCAGATAATTGATGTCAGCTCTGTAGGAAAGGGATATTTTTCACCATTTTTGCGATACAGAAAATGCACTTGCTGAAGTGGCAGGTAAATGCCTGACTGAGAATGACCATGTATTTTCACATTGTGCCCTATAGAGCTGCCCAGCCATCATGTATATTCTGGGTGACAGGGACAGATGTGACATATCTGTTGTGACACACTTCCGTACCACAAGTTCGTGGCTCGAGGTGACTCCTGTCCCTCCCCTGATGCTTTTTCCTGCTGCAGGACAACACAACGATGCACGGATGAACCTTGCCATCGCTCTCACTGCTGCCAGGTATGGGGCTGCCACAGCCAATTACATGGAGGTAGTGAGCTTGCTGAAGAAGACAGACCCCCAGACGGGGAAAGAGCGTGTGAGCGGCGCCCGGTGCAAGGATGTCCTCACAGGTATGCACGTCTCTGGGAGGGAGGTATTTCTTAGCATCTTGCCTCGCTCATATTATGACTGAATGATAATTTTTCTGTCACTTTTCTTTCATTTAAGCCAAGTTTCAAAGTCATCTTAATTATATTCCTTATTGTCAACAATGACTGGTTTAACATGAAAATTTTCCCTTGTGGGATTTGGCAATTTTTGCCTTTGTGTTAAATAATGATAATGATAATAATACATGCCCACTAAATTCCCACAGCTATAAATGCATTTCATTTTCTTTACAAAAACATGCTATTAATAAAATGAAATAAATGTGCCAAGTTTCAAAGGATCATTTAAGTGACACGGGCAGTGTATTTATACATGGTTAGAGTCAATCATGTTGAGCTTTGGTTAGATTTTCATTCTTGCTCTGGTTCTATGACCACGTAGGCAGTTCCAAATTTACTATATGTATTTTTTGAACAAGTCAGCACTGTGAAATATGTTGTGTCACAGCAATGCTGTTTACATATTTTTTAATTTTTTTTTTTAGAGAGGTTTTTGCTATAGGGCGTGTGCGCTCACCAGACAGACAGAAAGCAAGAAATCACTCCCCAGAGGGGATGGTCACGCCGCAATCCCTTCTCCTCCATTCTCTTCTCAGGATCTTGGGCACGCACACACATGTGCCTGGCGTGAGTTTTAAGCCACCGGGTCCGGGACGCGAACCACGATCGACTACGTGGGAATCCAGCTACATAGCCATTACGCTAACTGCTGGTTCCCAACTGCTGTTTACATATTTGAATTTTAAGGAGAAAGCGGCTTATTGAATCATTCCACCTTCATGTTTGGTGCCATGATGCTGGGCGCTTCATAAAATAGACTGAGAGCCTCCGTGGAAGAGTGGCATGCTTTCTCTTCCTTCAATTTGGACTCATTTTTGGTAAATTTACTCAGATGCGAGCCTTTTGTTTGGCTCTGCAATAACTCTGGCTGCTCAAGTCACTTAGTGCTGTATGCAATATACTTCGCCATAGGTTAAGTTAATAGATGAATTAATAATCCACAGCATCAGTGAGCAGAGAAACAAATGGGATGTGTGATGAATGCTGCTTTCTTTCATAGGGCAGGAGTTTGATGTGAGAGCCAAATGTGTTATCAATGCTACGGGACCTTTCACAGACTCTGTGCGCAAAATGGATGACAAGAATGCTGAGGCTATCTGCCAGCCGAGCGCGGGAGTCCATATCGTGATGCCTGGTTACTACAGGTAACCGTGTTCTGACTGCGTGGTTGTCCCTGTGAGGGAACCAGCACAAGAGATAGTCTCTGTTGATTTACTTTTTCTAGTGATAGATGTCTAACTTGCTGTTCAAAATGAGGAGAAAAAAGTGAAGAACTCTTCAAAACACAAAATACAAACAGACTTGGGAATTTCCTTGCTACTGTGGCAATACTGTCTCTAAGGGTTAATGATTTGAGATCTGTTTTCTACTCTGTTTAGTGTAGTTCTCTTCAGAGACTAAATCATTAGTAATTTTGAATTATGCTTCTTCTTTTTTTTAGAGAAGTTTTTGCTATAGGGCATGTGCACTTGCCAGACAGAAACAGAGAGACAAAAAGTGAGAAATCACCCCCCAAGGGGGGTGGCCACACTGCAATCCCTTCTCCTCTATTCTCCTTTTGGGATCTTGGACATGCACGCACACGCGCCTGGCGTAAGTTTAAGTCACTGGGTCCGGGACTCGAACCACGGTTGACTACATGGGAGTTCAGCGACATAGCCATTACACTAACTGCTGGTACCAAATTATGCTTCTAATGAAACCATTTAAAAATGAATTTACCAAAAATTTTTATAATATCGATGTGGTTTTAGCTATAAAATAATGATTACCTTGAACGTATACTTCAAGACATCTGCGGAAATCATACATATAGCTAGGCCAAGAGTAAGGAAGGTGGATATTGTTTTTATTTTCATATGTGGCAAACTTAGTATGCAAACTAGTAATTCTTATTTATTATTTAAAGTTTATTTCTTCACTTCTTTCATGATGAAGAAAAAGAGAAATGGAACCCTCAGTAGGGTCTTGATGCCATTGTCCACCCCTAGCTCCGCCCCAGATCATGGACATGTGCATGTCTGGTGTACACAAGGAGCTTTCTCGACGTGAATCTTCCCATGTGGAATTGCCTCACAGAGCATTTCATTTTGCTGCTCCAGTGCTTTTCCCACAACCAGTAATTCTGTATGAAGTCATGATTTATGCCGAGAGGTGTTCATTATGACATTAGCTGTAGTTGAGAAAATAAACCACTTCATTTCCTTACCTTAGGAGAAGAGATAAGTAAATTGTGGCAGAGCCTCACAGGGAGTATTATATAGGCATTAATAATTATAATCATAAACAACTTTAATGTCCTGGGAAACATTACTCACACAATGTCAGTTTGGCGGTAGGACTTGAGGCCGGCTGCAGTGGTGCAGTGGTCGTCCAGTACTCTACAGTGCTGAAGCCACATGTGAATGCCCTAGGTGTGCATCCCAAGGCTTTCCTGTCCACACTAAATGTGCATGTGTGTCTGGGATCCTGTATGGCTGAGGCCAAGGGTGGACTGTGAAAATTGTTTGCACCAGAATGAACTCATAGTTTAATTCTGTTTTTAAACAAACTTCTTGAAGTCTCATATGTGCAGTAGGATTTAAACACTGTATGTAGAAAAAGACTGGAAGGAAATATGTTAAATGTTGATAGTGATTATCTCTAAATAATGTGATTAGAGGTGAGTTATTTCCTTCTCTATTTTAATGCTTTATCATAAAGGACATATATGGCTTTTCATATACGATAATATAGATGTGGAGACACCATGATATTTTGCTTGATATCTTTATCCTCCTGTAGAATGCTGTACTGCCATGTTATAGATGATGTTGCCTTTTTAATTGCTGGTTCTCCAGTGGCTAATTCTGCCTGCAGAGAGTCTTTGCACCTAATTTGTACCAAATACACTGAGATAGATCCTAAAGAGACTTTCTTGTCCACCAACTTCAAGGTTTATTCTTATTTTTTTTTTTTTTTTTGATTTTTAGGCTCTCACCACAGGGCACATCCTCTTGCTGGAGAGAAACAGAGAGAGACAGTGAGGGGGAAAGCGAGAAATCACCCCGTAGGTGAATGGCCACGCCATAGTCCCTTCTTCATTCTCCTCCTGGGATACACACTCATGCCCCATGTGATTTTCAAGCTGATAGGTCCAGGACTTGAACTGTGGTTGGGCATGTGGGAATCCAGTGCCTTAACCACCGTGCCACCTGCTGGCCCCTCCTTGTCTTTTAAAGTGTGTGAGATAGGTGGACAGTCTTTAGTATATTCACTTTGGACTGGCAATGTAAGGTACCTCTAATCTTGATAATAAAAATACTGAGTTTTAAAAGCTGTTAGCCAGAAGTTTAGTTCAAATGGAAAAGAGAAGTAAATACACACAGACACACACACACACACACACACACACACACAGACACACACGTATATATCCAGTATGTTTTTTATGTATAGAGAAGTTTTCAACAATAGTTTTAGACACAATTGTATATACTTATTTCCTGTTGGATTAAAACTATTAAGGGCCAATTAGTTTGTACTATTTTTCTTTTACTGGGTCCTTGAAAAAGTTATGATGTATATTTCTATTTTTCTATGCAAAAATGCATCATGACTTTTCCAACCAGATAGTTTGTTTTCTAACATCTCTAAAAATACAGTACAGATATAATCACCATAATCCTTGCATTTGTTCGGATTCCACTAGATTTAACATATTCTCCTATGAATTGTGTCCTTTGTTTTCCTCACTGTTTTTTTGATATCAAAGAGGATACATTATTCCCCATTATTGCCCATTCAGTTAATCCTGTTACTTAATAGTGATTGCATATACAACAGCCAGTTTATTTTGGGAACTTTAAATTTCCCATCCGTAAAGGGCTAAAACATTCAGAGTGCATAGACAAGGAGACAATGCAAAGGGTGTGTTAGGGTGACACCTTGGCATAGGATTTCCAGGGTTTATTCCTCACTTTACCTCTTGCTAGGTAACTGGCTGAACCTAGGGAAACTACTTCTTTCAGCTTTTGATGCCTTGTCTTATGATAGTTTGAAGTTGTTTTAACTTGTTTAAAGTTTGACAATAATCATTTTATTATTTTTTACCATTCTGTTGAATACTGTGTCCTTGACTCGTGGCATAGTGCCTGGTACATAATAATGCCCAGTAAATGTTTTCTGAATGAATCCTACTCATTTTTTTTTGTGTGTGTTAACATGCTCAAATTGAGACTTTTTTCTATTACAATTTTAATACTGCATTATATAACATTTATAGGCGTGTTTTAATATAGAGAATTAAAAATATGGAAACAAAATACTATGTTCATTTTACTGCTCAGATAACCCCTGTAGGCAGAATAAATAAATAAAAGCAATATGGGGCTGCCCCTGTTGCCTAGCAGTTAAAGGAGTCAGATTCTACGTGACTGACCTCAGTTCACATCCTAGCCTTGTGGCTTGAAGAACACGCCAGGTGCATGTGCATCCATGGTTAAAATCCTGACAGGTTAGAGAAAGGGAGGAGAAGGGACTGTGGTGTGACCATGCCCTACGGGGAGTGAGGTGCTTTTTCTTCTTGTCTCTTTGTTCAGTCTGGTGGACGTACACACCTTGTGGTAAATGTTTTTTAAATAATTTTTAAATTTAACTTTATTTATTTATATTTTAATTTGACCAGAGAGGGACAGAATTGAGAGCCAGAGGAAAATGAGAAAGCAAGCCATGAGGTCAGGGACTTGAACTACGGTTGGCCATGTTGGAGTCCAGCACCCTTAACCACCATGCCATTTGCTGGCCCCCAACTGGTGGTAATTTTAAAAACTTAAAACAATGTAAACACATGGTGTAGTGGGTAAGGTGGTGCAGGACTCTTACATGGCCGTCTGAGGTTTAAGCCCCTGATCTGGCAGCTTGAAAATCATGTGTGTTTGCCTAGAATCCCTACAGGAAAATGGAGGAGAAGGGATTGCAGCCTGGCTAATCCTCATGCAGTGATTTCTCATTTTCCCTCTCTCTGTCTGTTTCTGGTGAGCACATGCACCCTGTTGGGGGGAAAATCTTTAAAAAAATAAAATAAAATAAAGAATGCAAGTACGTGATCAGAAATTTCAATCACTTTTTTTTTTTTGAGAGAGATTTTCGCTATAGGGCGCGTGTGCTCGCCAGACAGACAAAGAGAGACATAGAGACAGAAAGCGAGAAATCACCCCCCAGCGGGGATGGTCACGCCGCAATCCCTTCTCCTCCATTCTCCTCTCGGGATCTTGGGCACACAAGCACACGCGCCCAGCGTGAGTTTTAAGACACCGGGTCCGGGACGCAAACCGCGGTCGACTACGTGGGAGACCAGTGACATAGCCATTATGCTAACTGCTGGTTCCCAGAAATTTCAATTACTTTTGAAAAATAGAAAGATAGAAGTGAAAAGTGAAATATGAAAGCCCTTCACTCTGGTTCTTCTCTGGTAATTGTTAACCTTTCCTTGCAATTCCTTCCATAAAATTTTTTATTTTACTTGCACAAATGTATATTCTGTTAAAATTTTTGCATAAAAGTGATCATCCTACATATATTGGTCAGGGTATGCTTTGTACACTTACAACAGAATATACATGTGTCTTATGAGGAAAATAGATATTATGTACATAGATATAATAATTTCAAAATAGAATGCCTTGATCCTAAAAATTAGCTTCAGGCCCCCTCTCCATAAATCATGAAGGAGTTAGTTACTGCTGTATTAGTCTCAGTCTAATGTATAGTGTATGATCTCATTCTACTGTGGGAGAAATTGATATCTCTATTTCAGCACTGTGCATTACAACCATTGTCCATCCTGTTGGAAACCGTAAGGGAATGGCCTGCAGCCTAGTTCCCATTCAGGCTCTGTTGCAGTGGAGTGCTTTGGGTTTGGATTATGGCCTGGATTAAAGGTGTATTCTCTCTTTTAGCACTGACATTGTGGCGACTGTAACTCTGGCATCCTGTAGGAATGGTTTTCCCCTTTATATCAAGTCATTCTTTAGGGAGGGGTCAAGAGATTTCAGACTGAAATGACTCTCTGCCCTCATCAGTCAGTCACACTTAGCATTGTTAAGGAGTTTTTTTGTCTCCAGAGATGAACCAGAGCTCTTCTGGACTCTCTGGGACTGCCCTCCAATTGGCTGATGAGAACTTAAGACCAGGCATTTCAGTTACAGCCTGACTAGTTTGGAAATGAGTGACTTCAGTAGCCATGGATTGAGTGAGGGTAGGCTGGTAAAGAGTGTAGACCATGTGTACAGTGTTTCTTGTTGGATTGTTTCAGAAGTAACTTTATGGCATTTATTAGGTTGGTTATAACCTTAACTAATGTTTCACATGTGGAATTATCTTACATCATGGTAGCAGGGTCTTTTAGGGGCTTGACGGTGGGAGGAGTTGTTTTAATTTTAGAAAACACAACAAACAGAAATCCTTTTTAAAAAGCCACTCTTCAGTTTATATTAAGAATAAATCTGGAGTTTCCATTAGAGTTGTGGCTAGATGCTCTTCCAAAATAGCTATAATATATCAAATGACTGAAATTCATGAAAATGATCATCTCTTTCTTCTAGCTTACTGATGCTTTTTGCTACTGACAAGAGGTCAATTTTTTTCCCCATAATGTGTGTACATACTATTAACTTTAACACTGATTGCTAAGTAGTTAACAATAAATTGATTTCAGTTTAACTAAGGGTACTTCAGGAAAGCAATGGTCTGCATGAGAAAAATGTTCATTACATTTAATCCTAGACACACACATAAATTAACAGCAAGCTTTTTTTCTTCTTGACATTAGATGAATCATACATATTTTTAAAAGTCCTATGCCTCACTGCATTATATATACTATTACTATAGTTGATATCCATTCTCAAACTTTACTGTGACCTTGTAGAAGTAATTCTTCATAAGAAAACAAACTTTTCCCTAAGGGAGAACATGAATAAGGTAATTTAAACTGATGAAAGATATTGCCAAGTGGATTCTTAAATTTTTATGCCATTTATTAATAGCTTTGTCTTCCCTCTGTGCTTGTTAATTTGACGTTTGACACATATGTCTTCACTTACACCGTTTTCCCCTACAGGTTCCAGTTATGTGTGTGTTGGTAACCATCACCTTCACCCTTTAAACTGCTTTTATTGCATTCAAAGTTTTTCAAGGATTCAGGAGTTGGACTTTTCTTGCAACATTTCCTATCTAAGATGTTGGATATTAAAATTGTATTCTTCAGTTTTATTATTTAAGGTTTATTTTGTTTTTTAGGCATAGTATATGCTATCTGGTCTCTGGGATGGTTGTATATAAAATATATCAACATGTAATTTGTTCCTGAAAAATTAGAATATAAAATTCTTTTTTTGTTGTTTTAAAATAGTACTGTTTATCCCTTTGAATGTTTGAACTCTGAATTAATTTCTAATTCCAAAGTGATTTGTTTAATCTAATGCCATTTTAAATCAGGATCTCAAAAGGTGCTTATAGAACACATGAATAACTAGGTTATTTGACTATGTTTATGGAATTTTATAACAAATACAAAGAAAAAATTTATAGTTATACCTAGAAACCCAAAATACACAATACTTGTAGTTTTCAGTGTGTTAGAATAAAATTATTTCCTCTAAAACCCCCTACATGAATGTGGGAATCTTACCGAAGGTCTAAATGATTGACACATGTTCATGGTGCTTTTCGGATTTGCTAGGTAGAACTGTGGTCCATTTTCTCTTGTGTCTCCCACGTAGGCTACGGCCAGTGTTTTCTTTTGGTAAAGGATAAATGGACATGGCAGGCATTTCATGAAGTTGATGTTTTCTTGCAGAAAAAACCTAATACTCCTTGAGATTTAAATAAAGAAAATATACTAGAAAGCCGACTGTAGATTTTTTTATATAAAAATTATGTTCAACTTTTTTAAACCATTGTTTGCCACTCATCCTTATACATTTCAATAAGTCTCCGAAAAATATTTTTAAGGGAATGATATACATAAATGCTTTCCCCTTTTAAATGCATTTGTGTAAGAGGAATTTCTTAAAATCTGTTCAAACCAAATAGAATTGTGTTTCTTATTTACAAAATTGCATTAATAGAAACTAATAAAATATTTAAGAACATAACTTTAATACTGACTAGAGATGAGAATTTGGTAACCTTGAAACAGCTACCTAAAGATTTGTAGTGTTCTGTTTGAACCTTATTTTCCAATTCCTCCCATCCCTTTAACAACTTCTCTGAATTTCTTCAAATGTCTAATGCCTTCATTAAAACAACAGGTTTTGGGTTTGTGTGTGTGTGTGTGTGTGTGTGTGATTTGAAAACAAAATTTGACTGACTTTGTTAAATTTATTTATAATTCCGTTTTTTCAAATGTGTTTTGTAATTGGGTTTTAGAATATTCAGTACATGTCAGTGAAGATTTTTGTCTAGTATTTTGGAAGATTTTATATAGTCTATCAGAAAAGGCAGCCTTGAACCTTGATTCAAGAGCATATTCCACTATTTCTTCTGTTTGAAAGATTTTCATTGTTAAGTTGCTTTTGACCTTATCCTAGGACATTGTTATTTAGGTAGTGGTAGAAAACTGAGCCCTTTTCTTCTGGGTGCATTTCTTGAGATTTCTTTAACCATGAAATAAAGTAAGGAATCTCATATTTGGTGAAGTGGCAAAAGTTCTTCAAGGCACAAAGGAGTAGACAACTTTATGATTACATTTGAGTTTCTAGAAAGTTAGGCTTTCACTTTCTCATGTATTTCTGAGACTTTCTGCCGAAAGATGTTCCAAATGTCAAATGTCCCAGGAAAATACCTTTCATCCACTGGGGGGGAAAAAAGGATGAAGAGCTATCCTTAATTTGACCATTATAAAAGAAATTATATAAATTTAGTTCACTGACATTATCTGATGTGAATGGTTCTAGGAGTATAAGATTTGGAGTTCCAGGAGTATAAAACAGGGCAAACAGGTGGTGTGGTGGGTAAGGTGGCTGGATCTCACGTGACCAATTGCACTGTTCGAGTTCCAGATTGGATTGCATGGGTGCTCAAAATCCAGAAAGGAGTAAGAAATGGGGAGGAGAAGAGCTTGTGGTATGACCATCCACCAAGAAATCTGCTTTCTCACTTTTTCTTCCTGTCTCATTCTAGCAAATGCATGTACCCTATCACAGAATTTAAAAAAGAAAAAAAAAAAAAGAAAAGAAAAGAAAGAGAACAAGTGACAGTTGAAGTCTACTTTCTTAATTAACTTTGATTATTGAGGTGGCAGGTGGTGGTTCTGCTGTGGAATATTATTATCATTTTTGCTCTATTCCATTTTAATACCAGACTTACTACTTTAAAAACAAATTTCTAGATTAGGGTAAGGGTGATACAAAATAATAGTTAAGTCCTTCTTATTTGCTTACGTAAGAATTAATGAACAGATAGTTTTTAGAATTCAGATGAATGTCAAACTTCTGTTAAGTTAGAAATAAATAACCCTTCTTTTTACCTTAGCCCAGAAAGCATGGGACTTCTTGACCCAGCAACCAGTGATGGGAGAGTTATTTTCTTCTTACCTTGGCAAAAGATGACAATAGCTGGCACTACTGATACTCCAACTGCTATCACACACCATCCTATTCCTTCAGAAGAAGATATTAACTTCATTTTGAATGAAGTACGTAACTACTTGAGCTGTGATGTTGAAGGTAATGTAATCATTCCTTTCACTTTGTTCCTCCTCTTTTCTACATCCCCAACCATCCCAGCTGTCCCTAGGTAACTGCTATGTCTCCAATCTGAGCCATCTTCCATGTGGCCTATTGGAACTCTTTTTAAAAACAAAACAAAAGAAAACAAAAAAAACCCAACAACTAAAAAACCCCCAAAAGGCAAAAAAAAAAAAAAAAAAAACCAAAAACATTTTTTAC